CAACCGCCCTAAAACCCCTCTCCCCTTTTTCTCCCCCAAGATCAGCAAAATCATCGAGACGCTGAGCCAGCAGCTGCAGAGCAAGGGTCGTGAACTGAACGAGTTCCGCGAGAAGCACAACATCCGCCTGGTGGGCGAGGATGACCCCCGGCAGCCCCCCAAGGATGGCACCGAGGGGGGCAAGGGCAGCGCCGCTGGCGTCCTCGTGTCCTAGCCTTGTTGTCCCCTGCTGTCACCTGTCCTCCCTCCCCTTGTTTAGTGGTTTTGTTAAATAGATGTGGGGATTTTGGGCCACAAGTGTTCTCTAGTTATGGAATAATGGAGGTGACAGAAGCCCTGGGAGGTGGCACTGTGGGCGGTGACAGCAGTGGCACTTTGAGGACGCCCTTGAGCTGCCCGTTCACCTGTGACTGCCGTCAGCCGCCGCTTTCCTGTACCGTGTTCCTGTTGTGTCCTGGCTGTGGGGGAGGAGGGGCACACACAGGTGTCACTTCTGCTGGGGGTACAGTCGACAAAAAGCCACCTGGATGTTGTCCCCAGAATGTCACTCGGATCGCTGTGACCCTCTCTTGCTGTTACTCTCCCAAAAGTCTGTTCCTCTGGCAGAGGGGATGTGGGGAGATCAGTGGGGGGGTAGACAGGGCTGGCATTGGGAGACATGGGGACACTGGGGGACGTGGAGATGCTGGGGGCCTTGGGCACACACAGTGGCACGGGGATGCAGAGACATGGCCTGGCACTGGGGGATGTAGGAACACAGGGTCATGGAGATGCTGGGGGTGGCATGGGGGACACGGATGTTGGAGGACACAAGGACAACAGAGGGTAGGGGATGCTGGTAATGGCACGGGGACATGGAGATGGGCTGGGAGACGTGGGGGCACGCGACTGGTCCCAGGACTGGAGCTGGTAGGGGGGTTGCACAGCCCCCCTGGGGATATGGGGGATTGCATGGTGAGCAGTGGGAGGGGACGTGGGGTAGCAGTGGTGGTGGTCAGGGTTGTCTGCTGTCCCTATGAGCTGGGTGAGGGCTGGTGTGTGCCGGTGTGGGGTGGGGACAGGAGGGGACGTGCTGTTGACTGTACACAGCCCACACCCACAGTCACACTGGGTGCAGCCGGTTCCCCCCAGTCCCCTGCGGTGACTGTCCCCATATAATGTGCGTGCCTCCAGCTGTGCCATCAGTTCCACCACCATGGAGGGGGACGTGGGGACACGGATGGCTGACATTGAGAAGGAGAGCCTGCTGGGTGCTGTGCACGGCGTCTCGGGGCCCGGTATGGCTGCGTGTTGGGGACAGTGGGGACACTTGGGGCAGACAAGGGGGTGACGGTGCAATGTCCCTGCAGTGGTGACGGCCATACGCATGGCAGGGGCAGCCATGTATGAACTGGTGCGTGTGGGGCACGCAGAGCTGGTGGGGGAGATCATCCGCCTGGAGGGGGACATGGCCACGCTGCAGGTGTATGAGGAGACCTGTATCCTTGTGGCCTTGCCTGTCCTTCCCTTGTCCCCTCCTGACTCCTCTTGTCCCCCTGACCCTTTCAGTGACCTTCTTGCCTTCTGTGAGTGACCTTGTTCCCTCCTGTCCTCTCCTGTCTCCTCATCACTCTGATCTGTCCAGTGACCTCATCCCCTCCCGTTCCCCCATCCACTCTGTCCTCCTTATCCTCTCCAGTCACCCTGTCCTGTCTCCTCTGTCTGGTTCTGTCCCCTCCAGTTCCCTTGTCCCCTCTCCTGTCCCCATGTATTGTCTCTGCGGTGTCCTACCTGTCCCCATCCCATCCACTCTCCCAGTTCCTGTTCCCGTGTCCCCTGTCCCCTCTAGTTTTCTTGTCCTCATCTGTCTGCGGTTCCTGTCCTGTCCCCATCCCAACATCCCCCACCCCACCCCACATCCCTATCCCCATCACCCACGTTCCCACCCCGTGTTCCCCACCTCATGTCTCTATCCCCGTCCTCTACCCCACACCCCCCATCTCACGTCCCCCTCCTGCTCTGTGTGCCCACTCCTGAGCTCAGCACGCAGCGGGGGTGCGGGTGGGGGACCCGGTGCTGCGCACGGGTCAGCCGCTCTCGGTGGAGCTCGGTCCTGGCATCCTGGGCTCCATCTTCGACGGCATCCAGCGCCCGCTGCGGGACATCGCACAGCTGACGGGTGGCATCTACATCCCACGGGGTGTCAACATCCCCGCGCTGCCACGGCACCTCACCTGGGACTTTGTCCCCAGCAAGAGCATCCAGGTGAGGACATGGGAACATCGGAAGGACACAGGGGCATGAAGATATGGGGACAGAGGGACGTGGGGACTCCATCTCCAGTAAGAGAATTCTGGTGGGAACATGGGGACATCGGTGGGACATGGGGATATGGCGCTTTTGTCCCCAGCAAGAGCATCCAGGTGGGAACATGGGGACACCCTTCTGCTCTCACTGGGGGGGCTGCACAATCCCATTGCCACCCGGTTACCCTTGTGATCGCACCGTGCCAGGTTGGCAGCCATGTCACTGGTGGGGACATCTATGGGACAGTGACAGAGAACTCACTCATCCAACACAAGATCATGGTGCCACCCCGCAGCTGTGGCACCGTCACTCACATCGCACCACCAGGACACTACAGCATCTCGGTAAGGGGTGGCTGACGTGGTGGTGGCATTGCATGGCATTGCATGGCACCGCTGTCCCAAAACGTCCCCAACGGCATGGCAGTGGAGTGATGGCATCCCGCTGTCCCCAAATGTCCCTGAGGACGTAGTGGTGGTGGGCATGTCATTCCATGGCACCACTGTCCACAAATGTCCCCGAGGACGTGGTGGTGGCATCCCAAGGCACTGCTGTCCCTACATGTCCCCAAACGTCCTCAAGGATGTGGTGCTGGAGCTGGACTTCGAGGGTGTGGCCGAGCAGCTGACCATGATGCAGGTGTGGCCAGTGCGGCAGACCCGGCCCGTGGTGGAGAAGCTGACAGCAAATCACCCACTGCTGACAGGACAGCGCGTGCTGGATGCGCTTTTCCCGTAGGGATTGGGATGGGATGGGAATGGGATTGGGATTGGGATGGGTTTGGGGACAGAATGGTGTGGGGATGGGAATGAGATTGGGACGGGGTTGGGAATGGGTTGGGGATGAAGATGAGTTTGAAATGAACTTTGATGGGGATGAAATGAAGTGTGGATGGGAATGGGAAGGGGATACGGATTGGGGATAAAAGTGGGGATATAGGTTGGGGGGGTCAAGGGATGAGGATGGTGGACTCACATAGGTGGGAACTGGAGACATGAATAGGGGATGCGGGTAGGGATCGGGGGGTGGGGGTAAAGAATAGGAACAGGAGTGGAGATGATAATGGCAAGAGGGAGAGAAGTGGGGACAGAGAATGGTGACGGGACAGGGATGGAGATAGGGATTTGGGATGGGGGATGTGAGAAGAGGGAATAGGAGTATGGGATTGAGCTGGGAAGAGAGGGGGGTGGCGGACACCAATGGGTGTGGGAATAGGGTATGGGATAGGGGACAAGGAGGACAGAGATGAGGGATAGGAGACAAATTGAGGGTGGAGATCAGCACGGGGACAGATGGAAGCAGGATGGAGTTGGGGCGGGAACGAGTGTGGACAGGAGTGGCCATGCGAGGGACCGTCCCCAGATGCGTGCAGGGTGGCACCACAGCCATCCCCGGTGCTTTTGGCTGCGGCAAAACCGTCATCTCGCAGTCCCTGTCCAAGTACTCCAACAGCGACATCATCGTCTATGTGGGCTGCGGGGAGCGCGGCAATGAGATGTCCGAGGTGCTGCGGGACTTCCCCGAGGTGAGAGCAGCAACTCAGTGGGACACTGAGGGGACAGCAGGCCGGGCGGTGCCAGCAGTGGTGCCAGCAGAAGGGCCAGCAGAGCCACTGAGGCCAAGGGGACCGACGGTGCTAATGGTTTCTCCCTCAGCTCACCATGGAGGTGGATGGGAGGACGGAGAGTATCATGAAGCGCACCACGCTGGTGGCCAACACCTCCAACATGCCAGTGGCTGCCCGCGAAGCCTCCATCTACACTGGTAGGCAACAGGGGACGATGACGGTGACGGCAGTGGCTCTGCCGCTGGTGCCATCCTGCGCCCCCTCCACACAGGCATCACGCTGTCTGAGTACTTCCGCGACATGGGGCTCAACGTCAGCATGATGGCCGACTCCACCTCCCGCTGGGCCGAGGCGCTGCGAGAGATTTCAGGGCGCTTGGCTGAGATGCCGGCGGGTGAGAAACTGAGCGTCCCCCACGTCATCCCGTTGTCACTGGACGTGGGCGCCGGCTCACCGTGCCACCCCACGCCCTGCAGACAGCGGGTACCCCGCGTACCTGGGCGCTCGCCTGGCCTCCTTCTATGAGCGTGCGGGGCGGGCGCGCTGCCTGGGCTCCCCCCTCCGTGAGGGCAGCGTCAGCATCGTTGGAGCGTGAGTGTCACCAGGAGGGAACAACGTGGGACCATCCCACCCCACTGAGTGTGCTGCACCCCACAGGGTGTCACCGCCCGGAGGGGACTTCTCAGACCCTGTCACCTCAGCCACGCTGGGCATCGTGCAGGTGAGCTTTGAGGTGCCCACGGATCCCATATTTGGGTTTTCCATGGATCGTATATTTGGGGTTCCCCAAATGGATGTCCCGTTTTGTTTTCCTCATGGGTCCTGTATTTGGGATTCCTCATGGATCCATATTTGGAGTCCCTGTGGATCCCATGTTTAGGGTTCACATGTTTCTCATATCTGGGGTTCTCAGTGGATTCCATATTTGGTTTTCCTCATGGCTCCTGCACTTGGGGTTCCCACAGATCCCGTATTTGGGTTTCTCATAGGTCCCATATTTGGGTTCCCACGGATCCCCTATGGATTCTCATGCCAACCCCCCCCGGTCCCACAGGTGTTCTGGGGTCTGGACAAGAAGCTGGCACAGCGCAAGCACTTCCCATCGGTGAACTGGCTGATCAGTTACAGCAAATACTTGCGGGCGCTGGAGCCCCACTACGAGCGGCTGCACCCTGACTTCCCCACACTGCGCACCCGTGCCAGGGAGATCCTGCAGGAGGAGGAGGATCTGGCTGAGATTGTGCAGCTCGTGGGGAAGGTGGGGGGTGGGACTGGGTGGGGATGTGGTGGGGATTGGGGTGGGGTGGGAGTGGCAGGGTTGGGGATTGGGATTGGGATGGGGTGGGGATGTGGAGAGAAGGGGAAGAGAACTTGAATGGGCTGGATGTAGGATTGGGAGGGGGATGGGATTGGGTAAGAATTGTATGGGATTGAATTGGGATGGGGATAGGATGGAAATGGGGTGGTATGGCGTGAAATTGGGACAGGGATGGGCTGGGAAAGGGATGGAGGTGGCATGAGATGGGAATAGGACAGGAATGGAATGGGGATGGAGATAGTATGGGGATGGGGATGAGGATAGAATGGAATGGGGAGAGCTGCAGCGTGGGGATGAGATCTATGGGATGGGGATGTTGCCTTCCTCATAGGCGTCCCTTGCTGAGGCTGACAAGGTGACACTGGAGGTAGCCAAACTCCTCAAGGATGACTTCCTGCAGCAGAATGGCTACTCCTCCTATGACAGGTACTGTGCCTCCATGTACCCCGTGTCCCAACATTCCCATACTGCTCCGATGTCTCTACACCACTCCCATGTACCCACACCACCTCCGCAACCCCAAGCCACCTCGATGACCCCATGTTGTTCCCATGCCACCCCCATGTCCCCATACCATCTCCACATCCCCGTGTCCTCATGGCATTCCCCACATCCCCATACCAGGTGACATCCATGTCCCTATGCCATCTCCATACCCACATCTCGAACACATCATGTCCCCGTGTTCGCACATTCCCATGCCACCTCCAAGTCCCCATGTCCCCATGACACCCCCCGTGTCCCCACACCCCCACAACACCCCTGTCTCCCCTTGGGGTCCCCCCACCGCCCCCAGGTTCTGCCCCTTCTACAAGACAGTGGGGATGCTGCAAAACATCGTCACCTTCTATGAGCTCGCCCGACATGCCGTGGAGGCCACTGGGTCTGGAGAGCGCCGTGTCACTTGGGCAACCATCCGCGAGAACCTCGGGGACATCCTGCACCGGCTGAGTGCCATGAAGTTCATGGTGGGAATTAAAAGGGGCAGGGGGGAGGGTCACTTATAGGGTGTCAGGAGGGCATTTATAGGGGGCTGGGGGACACTTACAGGAGGTCTGGGGACACCTCTAGGATGTCACTTACAGGGGTTGAGGGATGTTTACTGGGAGTCACTTGTAGGGAATAGGTGGGACACTTATAGGGGGTCAGAAGCGTTACTTATAGGTAATTGGGAGTATGCTTATAGGGGATTAGGGGCATTTATAGAGGGTTAAGAGGTCACTCATAGGGAAGCAGGGGACCCACAGAGTGACACTGATGCTGCCCCCTCCCCCCCAGGATCCAGTGAAGGACGGCGAAGCCAACATCACGGCTGCCTTCACGCAGCTCAACGAGGAGATGCAGGCAGCCTTCCGCAACCTGGAGGACTGAGGGTCTCCCTCTGGACCCTCTGCTCCAATAACCCCCCCACCCCAATTCACCCCCCACCTACATCAGGATCTGTCCTCAGGGTCCCACTTGTCCTCGTAGAATTTAGAATGGCCTGGGTTGAAAAGTACCACAATGCTCATCTGGTTTCAACCTCCCTCTTATGTGCAGGGGCTGCCAACCAGCAGACCAGGCTGCCCAGAGCCACATCCAGCCTGACCCCGTGTCAGTAAGCAATTCTTTGTTTACCACATTGTGCCCTGTTCCTTTCATGAGTGATTTAGCTGGTTTAAAGCAGCTGTGTCTGCTACTGCTTTTCTCTACAACATTCTTTTCCATTATACGCAACTATACACTGCAGTGGTGTACCTCAGAGGTTTCATGAAGGTCTATTTCAAAGTAGCCGGAGTTTTGTTCATTGTCAAGACAAAGGCCTCAGGCCTTGATGGTATTAACTGTTGGTATTAAATGATGGTGTCTTGTTTCAGTTAACATTAAAATTGCTTGGTAGTTAGATGTTGGTATGTGAATATTTAGAAAGAATGTAACAGACAGTGGCAAAAATGAAAAGCAACAGCAATTGGATCATTTTTTACAGATATTCATAAGCATTTTGCACAGCTTTCCTGGGTTTGGAGAAGTTTTCCTTTCTTTGCTTTGTTCCCCCCCTCCTCCAAACTTCTCTAATCAAAGAGAGAACGGAGACTCCCGGGCGCTGCTCCGCCAACCCCACTCAATGGCGGTTGTTCTTTTTGCGGTCCCTACTGCCGCCGCGTGGCCAAGCAGCTGAAGTGTAGATGCCTCTGTTGCTCCCACAGGCAGCACAACGCATGCGCGCAGAAATGCGGAAGTGGCGAATCTGAGTTCTGACAAGTCTGCGCAGTGAATCTGCCAGTCTTTGTTATGCTTAGACCTCCAGGCAACAGGGCGCATGCCCCCAGAAACATCAATCGCACCCATTTCTATTAACGGGCGGGAGAGCAGCCAATTCTTGGGCCGCGAGCTCAGCAATGTTGTCCCCTTTCCCATTCGTGACGCCTGCGCAACAGGGTGCGAAAGAGGAGCATGCGCAGCACCATGCAAGCGAATTGCGCATGCGCAGCATTGTACCAACATCCTGCGCATGGGCAGAAGGGTACCACCTGCCGCATGCGCAGCAGAATGCCAGCCAGGCGCATGCGCAGAACGATGACAGCCAGGCGCCTGCGCAGGAAAGTGCCAGCCGAGCGCATGCGCAGCAGGGTGTCATCAATGCGCATGCGCAGCACAGTGCCAACCGCACGCATGCGCAGCATACAACCTAGCACATGCGCAGTAGGACCCCAGTCTGGCGCATGCGCAGAACAATGCGAGCAGGTGCATGCGCAGCAGGGTGCCAAGATACCGCATGCGCAGAACGGTGTCAATCTGGAGCATGCGCAACAGGGTGCCAGACGGCCGCATGCGCACCACAGTGCCTACCAGGCACATGCGCAGCACGATGCCTACCCAGCGCATGCGCAGCAAGATGCCTACCGGGCGCATGCGCAGTAGCACACCAGCTAAGCGCATGCGTAGTAGGATACCAGCCTGGCGCATGCGCAAAACAATGACAGCAGGTGCATGCGCATCAGGGCGCCAATCCGAAGCATGCGCAACAGGTTGCCAGCGAGGCGCATGCGCAGCACGGTGCGAACACAGCGCGTGCGCAGCAATGCGCCACACAGGCGCATGTGCAGGAAGGAGCCAGTCCGGCGCATGCGCAGCACGGTTCCGACACCGCGCATGCGCAGCACGGTGCCTACCCTGCTCATGCGCAAGAGTGTGCCAGACTGGCGCATATGCAGGAGGGCGCCAGCCCGGCGCAAGCGCACCGCACGAAGCGATATTGAAGGGTTAAGAACAGGGATTTCTATGAAAATAAGCGATATTTAAGGTTAAAAACAGGGATTTCTAGGAAAATCAGCGATATTTAAGGGGAAAAACAGGGATTTCTATGAAAATAAGTGATATTTCATGGGAAAACCAGGGATTTCTAGGAAAATCAGCGATATTTAAGGGGAAAAACAGGGATTTCTATGAAAATAAGCGATATTTGAGGTTAAAAGCAGGGATTTCTATAAAAATAAGGAATATTTAAGGGGAAAAACGGATTTCTACAAAAATAAGTGATATTTTAGGTTAAAAACAGGGATTTCTATGAAAATAAGCGATATTTCATGGGAAAAACAGGGATTTCTATGAAAATAAGTGATATTTTAGGTTAAAAACAGGATTTTCTATGAAAATAAGCAATATTTTAGGTTATAAACAGGGATTTTTATGAAAATAAGCGATATTTAAGGGGAAAAACAGGGATTTCCATGAAAATAAGCGATATTTCAGGGGAAAAACAGGGATTTCTATGAAAATAAGTGATATTTTAGGTTAAAAACAGGAATTTCTATGAAAATAAGCGATATTTCAGGGGAAAAACAGGGATTTTTATGAAAATAAGCGATATTTAATGGGAAAAACAGGGATTTCTATGAAAATAAGTGATATTTTAGGTTAAAAACAGGAATTTCTATGAAAATAAGCGATATTTCAGGGGAAAAACAGGGATTTTTATGAAAATAAGCGATATTTAATGGGAAAAACAGGGATTTCTATGAAGTAGAAATCACCTTTTCCATTAATTACCCTCTGTAATGCTGCAGCATGATGGAAAATGAAACAACAATAGCAGAGAAGCAAAGTCCCAGGCTGTAGTAAGTGAGGATGTGCTCAAATACAGCAGCCGTAAACACAGAAACAGAACAAAAACCTGCTTACCTTTGGAAGACCTCATGCAAGCACAGACCTCTAGCCAAAGCCCCCTCACTTCTGATGCCAATGCTTAAATGAGACCCGGGAGGGGGTGGAGCCAGGCTCCACCCCCTTCCATCACTCAGGTGCGTTTCATGCACCTGAGCTTCTA